TTTTTTTTTTTTTTTGCAACTATGTTGCCCAGCCTGGTCTTGAACTCCTGAGCTCAAGCCCAGAGTGCTGGGATGACAGATGTGAGCCACCACACCCAGCCAAGCATCTGCGATTTCTTAACAAATTGACCTCACACCACTCATTCTCTTTTAAACCTGTATTTTCCCACTTAACATATTGTACCATGTTCCCAGCTATTAAATGCTCTAAAAATCACGGGCTACAGAGTTTACCAGTGTCTTAAACTTCCTTTAAGGCATCCTCAGTAACAAGATAAAGCCTTTCTGTTCAAACATTTTTGACTCTCTGTCCCCTGCTTTGCAAGTCCCTGTGCTGCCCCATGTGCCAGGCCTATGCTGGGCCCTGGGGACACCATTGTGACCGGGGTAGACTGAGTCTCACCTTCAGTGAGCTTCCCCTGCGGCTGGCTCCCCAGAGGCTTCTCACTACCACCCTCCTTCCACCCTCCTTCCCTGGCTTTGAACTCCTGTCTCTTCCCCACCAGCTCTTTTTTGCCTTCTCATTAGAAGATCTGTCCCAGGTGGGGACAGGGAGGGCGGCATGGCACCTGCACACAGCATTTGGAAACAGAGCACTGTGCACCCCAGAGTACCCAGCTGCGTGCTCTGTCAGGTCAACTGCGGCTCAGCAAGCCCGTCACTGTCCATGGTCCTGTGTCTCCCAACTGTGGGGTCCTCCGCTTTCATTCTGGGAGCTCCCTGAGGGGTGGACAGAGTGTCTCTCCCAGTTTCATCCAGTGCAGTGGGCTCTGTGGTTGCCTGGAGGTGGGCCTAACCAAGGGCATTGGTGGCGTGTGTCACCCACTGCCCACCTGGTCTGGGCTCCCGGGGTGAAAGGGTCAGGGTGTACAGGGCTGTGCGCACAGGCAGCTCCCCTACAGAGCAGGTGCCAGGAGCCAAGGGCTGTGTGAGCCCGAGCTGGGATGCCTGGGGCTGACAGGCCTCCTTCCCTACGGCCCGGGGTAGCAGGAAGGTGGGCTGCCTGGGAGGGCAGACCTCAGGCACCGGGATGGGAGCAGAGGCTCCCAGCGACTTCCCACAGCCGGGTGCAGCCTCAGTCCCAGATGCTCAGGCTTTTTCAGTGGTTCCTCCCCTGGAAACGTTTGTGTGACGTCCTGTGTTGAGAGCTTGCTTACCGTGGACAAATAGATCCTCTCCTCCAGCTGGGATCTATTTGTCCATTTATTCATTCATCCTGTGTTCATTCATCCATTTACTAAGTCACTAATTCACTCATTCAACAAACCCTTGAGTTCCTAGCAAGCCTCGGGCCTGAAGGGCTAGGTCCCCAGGGCTGAGGTCTCCAGGGAAAGGCCTTTGCCCAGAAGGCTCGTAGGGCCCTCCGTCCAGCCCTTGCTCCAGGATTCAACCTCCTTCCTCTCTTCTTGTCTCTAGCTGGTGAGCATTCAGAGCTGTCCCAGAGCCACAGGCAGGTAAGGGGGCTTCAGCAGGAGGTGTCTCCGGTGGCTGGGCAGAGGGTACAGAGGATGCTGGGGAATTGGACAGTCCCATCAGCCAATGGAGGATGGATGGAGCGTGGAGCTCGCCCAGAGCAGGACAAATCCCGCTGGGTCACTGGGTCTTGTTCCGAGTCCCAGCCAGCCTGTCCCCTCCCCACCAGGGCACATAGAATGAAGTGGGGGCCCTCCCAGCAGAGCTGACCTGGGGAACATTCAACTACTTGGCAGGGTGGGGTGGAGGCAGGAAAGGGAAGGTCGGGGCTGAGACGCTCAGAGCATAGAGGAAGGGAGACACATGCAGAGACACAGGGACAGAGGCTACAGGGCTCCGTGGACACCCACCCAACACCTCCTGCCCCCCTCCCCCAGGCTGCCGAGGAGAGTGAGCAGTACTACGCGAATCTGGAGCTGCTGACATGGCCTCTGCAGGAAAAGCCAACACCATCACCCCAGGTGGAAGTGGAATATAGCACCGTGGTAAATGCGGGAACCTGCTGCGGGGCATGCGGCCCCTGGGCTGTGGTAGGGCATCCCTGGGGGTGGGCAGAAAGGGAAGGAAGGGGTCAGCTTGATGATCTTACACCTCTCAGGGACAGGGCCACACGGAGATGGAGCAAGTGTAGATTTTGCCAGAGCAGGGGTCCTTAGAAGGGCTTGGTGTCACTGTGGCTGGGGGTCGGGGGGTGGCCACCAGCTGCGGCCTTGACAGTCCGTGAAGTCCGGGATGGGTTAAGCACCTGCTGTATATCATGCGCCAAGGTGAGAACCTACCATTTCTCACTGTTTTGGTCTCATCATCTCTTTGGCATCAATTCTGCTTTCCAGGTTTTTGTCTGTGACCCGCTGTGGGTCAGTCCTAGGGCACAGCCACCTTCAACTGGGATAAGGGATGGGGCTGCCTCCCTGGGTGGTGATGCACCTGCTAGGGGGAAAATTCAAGCAGAGGCTGGGGGTCACTTGGTGGACAGGATGGGTAAGCATCAGAGATGCTTAAAGGATCCCCCAGGCCTGGGAGCCAAAGGAGCCCCTCAGACAGGTTGTGTGGTGCCGCGGAGGGCTGGTGCCAGGGAGACAGGGGATACTGTTGCTGGTCTGCCTGGAAAAGCGGCCCAACTCCCTGGGATGTCTCCATCTGCTACCATTCTCCCCAGGCCGCTGTTCTTACATCGGCCAGAGGAAGAGGGATATAGTCCTGTCACTTCCGGGTCCCCTGATAGCCACGCCCCTCCCCAACCTCCAGCCAGCTGTCTGGATGAGGATAAAAGTGGTCTGGGAGCCCAGGGTCCTGCATGTCTCCTGGCCAAGTTTCTTTTCTCTTTTTCTTTTTTTGCGTCTCACTGTGTCACCCAGGCTGGAGTGCAGTGGCACAGTCTTGGCTCGCTGCAATCTCTGCCTCCCAGGTTCAAGTGATTCTCCTGCCTCAGCCTCCCAAGTAGCTGGGACTACAGGCATGTGCCACTACACTGGCTAATTTTTGTATTTCTAGTAGACACAGTGTTTTACCATGTTAGCCAGGCTTGTCTTGAACTCCTGACCTCAAGTGATCCACCTGCCCTGGCTTCCCAAAGTGCTGGGATTACAGGCATGAGCCACCTCGCCCGGCCAGCTGCTGACCAAGTTTCTGAGCACCCCTGCAATGGTCAAGCCTGATCCCTTCCTTGCATAACATGATCTTGTGTCCACACAGCTTCGTGGTCTGGGACCAGCAACAGCCTTGTTTTTCTAACTGGGTATCTCATGCTCTAAAGTGGATGGGGCATGGCCTTACTCTTCTCCTGGCCCCCTTGGTATAAGTTGGGACTCATGCCCACAGCACAATGAGTTAATCAGAGCTGCAGGGCCAACAGGGTGCCCCTATACTGGCCTCAACTCTACCTCAAGAGCTAGGGGTCCTCTGCAGAAAGGGACCTGTGGCTGCTTCATTGTGAGAACTTTTCTTTTTTTTTTTTGTGACGGGGTCTCACTCTGTCACCCAGGCTGGAGTGCAGTGGTGCAATCTCAGCCCATTGCAACCTCTGCCTCCCCGGTTCAAGCTATTCTCCTGCTCATCCTCCTGAGTAGCTGGGATTACAGGTGCCTGCCACCACACTCAGATAATTTTGGTATTTTTAGTAGAGACAGGGTTTCACCATGTTGGTCAGGCTGGTCTCAAACTCCTGACCTCAAGTGATCTGCCCTCTTCAGCCTCCCAAAGTGCTGGGATTATAGGCGTGAGCCGCTGTGCCCAGCTTCGAGAACATTTCATCAAGAGAAGCACAGAGGTGTCTCAGGGGAGCCCAGTCAACTCTCAGGGCCTCAGTTTCTTCCCGTAGAATAGACCAGGCTGGGTCAGCCCTGAGGAGCCCAGGGAGCCTCCTGCCTCTGATGCCGGGGACATCGTGCTGTGGCTTGCCCAGGTTGGGAGGAAAAGCTGGGTGGACAGGATCGTGGAGCCCGGTCCTCAGGAGGGAAAGAGGCCGGGACAGTGGAGCCTCTATAGTGAGGCCTCCCCAAGGCCCCTCAGGTGTCCTCCCTCCTCCGTCCTGTGCTGGGGGTCCTTCCTAACCCTGCCTCTCCTGAGCCTCTGGCTTCTCTCTGCAGGCTGCCCCCAGGGAAGAACTTCACTATGCCTCAGTGGTGTTTGACTCCCAGAGTCAGAATTCTAATGCCAACAGGATAGCTGCTCAGAGGCCCAGGGAGGAGGAACCAGATTCAAATTACAGTGTGATAAGGAAGACATAGGCCTGCCTCGCTGTCTGCCCCAGGAAGCCCAGGGATGGCTCCCTTGTCCCTGGCCCACGTCCTCCTCAGCCTGCCCTCAACGACAGTGACCAACAGACAGGCAGCTGGGTTCCCCAGGCCGTCCCACTGGTGCCATCAGCTTGGCTGGCTTCCCTGAGGGCCGGCAGAGCTGGGGGTTCCAGGGAGCAGTAGGAAGCACTCCCAGCTGCCAGCGCCTGTTGCCTCTTTCCCCTTTGCCCCGGCTTCATCCTGGCTCTGTGTCTGGAGGACGAAGCTCCTTCCCATGTGGCTCCAGGAAAAGATGTGGCTCACATAGGCGGCATCTGCCAATAGCTTTGTCAATTACAGCCCCATAGGAACGTCTGGAATTGCTTGGGAACTGGGGAGAACTGGCAAGAAGAGCCAAAGCAGCGATCTCTTCACATGGAGACTATGGTGGGGTGACCCCAGGGGGAGCCCACGAAAGATCAAGTCCCTCCCCATCTCACAGACAAGGAAACCAAGGCCAGAGGGAGGAGAGGATTGCTCATGGTTCCAGAATCAGTGGCAAGTTTCTCAGGACTCTTAGGTTTATTTTTAACATGAGATATAAAAACAGTTTCAAATATCTTCTTAAGGGAGAAGTAAAAAGTTATTTAAACAATGCCTGCTATGTGTCTGCAATCCTCTGCTGAAGAAAGCTCCCGGCTTTGATGTCAGATGAGTGCAGAGAAGGCTTGAGGGCACGGGTTGGGGACATCCTAAGAGAAGTTCTCCCTGAGTGGGAGAAGAGGGGTCACAGCTGCTTCTCACCATGATGTCTGTTTGCTTGTTTGTTTTTTGGAGACATGGCCTCGCTGTGTCCCCCAGGCTGGAGTGCAGTGGTACGATCACAGCTCACTGCAGCCTGGAGCTCTCAGGCTCCTGAGTAGCTGGACTACAGACACGTGCCACCATGCCTGGCTTTTTTATTTTTTGTAAAGATGGGGTCTCGCTATGTTGTCCAGGCTGGTCTTGAACTCTTGGCCTCAAGCGATCCTTTTGCCTTGGCCTCCCTGAGTGCTGGGATTACAGCATGAGCCACCATGCCTCACCATTTCTATGATGGAAAACACAGCAGTTTTCTTGTCAGGAGATTTGATTTAAAGAGCTGTCCAGGCTCTCTTGAGTCTGTGGCAGCTGCCAACAGCTTTATGTGTTTATTTTTTAATTTAAATTTTTCCTTTTTAGAGGCAGGGCCTCACTATGAGGCTCAGCCTCGAACTCCTGGAGTTGTGCAACGTGGACTCCTGGATCTGAAAGTTGAGGCTGCCACGGAGCCTATAATGTGGGCAGGGCTTAGATGTGTATCTGGTATGGAGGGGAACTCAGAAACGGTTGTTGACTTCACTTGAATTGAGCCCAGTCACGTTCCAGTCCTGACCTGCAGTAACCCTTCTTGGGGTCCTGTTTCCAGAGACAGAATTCTGCCTCTGGAATTCTGGTTTAAAACACAGAGGCGCATGGCACCAGACAGATTCTAAGACTCAGAAGGTTGTTTGAAGGACCCCTTCTCCTCAATAGGAGTGAACTTTAATTCTCTATGATTCTCTGAATCAATATTTTTTCTTTAATTCAGTCTGAATTTCTATCAATTAGAAGTAAGTCTTTGGCCGGGCGCAGTGGCTCACACCTGTAATCCCAGCATTTTGGGAAGCAGAGGTGGGCGGATCACGAGGTCAAGAGATCAAGACCAGCCTGGCCAACATGGTGAAACCCCATCGCTACTAAAAATAAAAAAATTAGCTGGGTGTGGTGGTACATCCCTGTAATCTCAGCTACTCAGGAGTCTGAGGCAGGAGAATCACTTGAATCCAGAAGGTGGAGATTGCAGTCAGCCAAGATCTCAGCACTGCACTCCAGCCTGGCGACAGAGCAAGACTCTCTCTCAAAAAAAAAAAAAAAAAAGTAAGTCCTCTGTAAAATGCAAATGTCTAGGCTGTCAGTTGGTAATCAATGCCAGCCACTGTAACAACCACAACCTCCATAATAAAACTGGGTGGAGATACTTACCTGGCAGGGGAGATACCATGATCATGAAGGTGGTTTTCTCAGGGTGAGGCTTATCCATTGCACTCCGGATGTGCTGACCCCTGCAATTTCCCCAAATGTGGGAAACTCGACTGCATCATTTGTGGTAGTGGGGGACTGCATTCGTGCTTTCCCCTGTTTTTAAATTATTTAAAAATTTAAAAATTCATTAATTAATTAAAAAAAAAACTGAGTGGAGTGGCGGCGACGAGGCTGGGGCAGGAGCATGTAACAGCCACAGCCACACACTGGACCCGGCCCCTTGCCCTGTCAATCTCTACGGCTTGGTGGAAGAACAAGTTCTGAGGTATAAACCACCTGCCCCTTGGAAAGTGGCAGCCCCTTGGGAGTCCTTCCTATCACTTCCTACCGGTGAGTCTCAGTTGGGACCACCCCCATTCTCCAAGGAGGTCTCACAGCAGGAGGGAGTGGGCTGGCTCTCCATAGTCTTCCAGAAGTCTTACTACCCAACTCCCTTCTAGGAAGCTCTGCGTTCCACCAAGGACACTGGGAAGGGCCATCTTTGTCACACCAGAGAAAGGGTCTTGCTCTCTTGCCCAGGCTAGAGTGCAATGGTGCAATTATGGCTCACTGCAGCCTCGAACTCCTGGGCTCCAGCAATTCTCCTGCCTCAGCCTCCTGAGTAGCTAGAACTCCAGGCATGTGCCACCACGCCGGGCTAATTTTTCAATTTTTNTTTTTAAGAGACAGGGTTTCGTCATGTTGCCCAGACTGCTCTTGAACTCCTGAGCTCAAGCAATCCACCCACTTCAGCCTCCCAAAATGCTAGGATTATAGGCATGAGCTACCATGCCCTACCCAAACTCAAAATTTGCAGGAGAATATACAGTGAAAAGTCAGTCCCTTTATTATTTCTGAACCGAGGTATCCAGAGTTCCTTATGTTTCTCACCTGAGATAGTTAATCATCTTGCACATATATACACATATATATGGCCTATATGTATATGCTCCTCCCCATTCCTGTATATACCTATCCTCCCCATTCCCACCATTCCTGCACAGTAGTATGTTGCAACCATCTTTGAGATTATTTTACCTTCTATAAATGCCACAGAACATCCCACAACATTCCATTGTTTGTGCCATGACATACACATGCCATTCTGCACATTTTCATGGAGAGCTGAAGGGTAAAGTTGGAGAAATTCAAAGTCTGCGCACTTGTGATTTTGATAGCTAATGCTAAGTGTATGGCAACTTTGAAATAGCAATCTTTGGCTGGGTGCGGTGGCTCACGCCCGTAATCCCAAGCACTTTGGGAGGCCAAGGTGGGTGGATCATTCGAGTTCAAGAGTTTGAGACCAGCCTGGCAGGAGAATCACTTGAGCCCAGGAGGCGGCAGTTACAGTGAGTCGAGATCATGCGCCACTGCAGTCCCGCCTCAATGACAGAGCAAGACTCCATCTCAAAAAAAAAAAAAAAAAAAAAAAAAAAAAAAAAAAAAAAAAAAAAAAAACAAAAAAAAACAAAAAAAAAAACCCTTAAACCTTGAAACAATTTCAAACTTAAGGAAAAATTGTGAAAATGGTACAAAGAACTCCCATATGTCATTTTCCCAGATTTACCTTTTTTTTTTTAAATTTGCCACTTTTTTTGTGATTGTGTTGCTATCTATGCATTTTTCCCCAGAAGCATCTGAGAACAGATTGCTGACGCTCTCTGTTTGAACGAGCCGCATACACCAAGCTGCCACCCCCGTGTTTTCTGAAAGTAGCTGGTGAAGCGCTCCCGAGGTTGTCCGAGTCCCAGGTTCGCCTTCAAAATACAGCACTTCGCTTGCTACAGAAAGCCAACATGATACATATTTGCAGGATTAAATGATGTTAGGTTGATCATCCATAGGTTCACAGTCGGGCTAAGGAAGTGAAAGACATTTTCTAATTAGCCCAAGTCCTTTAGAAAGATGACTCAGGGCTGAATTAGCCACAGTTCAGAAAATGACCTCACGATTTTGTTTCTTTGTTTTTAAAGTTTACTGTTGGGGCAAACCCCAGCCCTGGTTTGTAGATCTGACTCTGCCTTGGAACCAAAACATAGATTTGATAGCCACGTATCTCCACCCTGTGGCCATGTGGGGAATCACACATTTCTGGATCCCAAGCCCGTTGGATTTGTTGGTCTATCGATGCCAAAGGAATTCTGCACTTTCTGGGTCAGTACAACTGAGAAGGGGGAGGGCTTGAAACAGAGGAACAGACAGAAAACTCCTGCATGGCTTTCCAGACCCTCTACCCACCCAGTCCTTGGATGTTTTGTGCCGAAAGAAAACTGAGCTCCTTGGCCCGGCACGGTGGCTCATGCCTGTAGTCCCAGCACTTTGGGAGGCCAAGGCAGGCGGATCAACTGAGGTCAGGAGTTTAAGACCAGCCTGGACAATGTGGCGACACCCCGTCTTTACTAAAAATACAAAAATTAGCCGGGTGTGGTGGCGGGCACCTGTAACTCCAGGTACTTCGGCAGCTGAGGCAGGAAAATCGCTTGAATCTGGGAGGTGGAGGTTGCAGTGAGCTGAGATCGTGCCATTATACTCCAGCCTTGGTGACAGAGCAAGACTCCATCTCAAAAAAAAAGAAAAAAAAGAAAACTCAACTCCTCTCTAATCTTGAGTTTCTTTAATTCATGTCCAATTGCGCCTTCCCAGTTCCTAGATTTTCCCTCCCCAACTGCAGTGTGTCAAAGGCAAGAGCAGCCACCCCACCTGTGATTGGTGGAATGAGTTTGGGGTCAGATAGGCTTAAATCCCACCTCTGCCCTTGTGACCTACATGATCTGGGTTTGCCATTCAAGGCCATCTGGGTCTCAGCTTCCTTATTTGTTCCAGCAATGGTCCAGTGTCCCTCAGTGCGTTCACCCTCACCAGGCTCTGAAGCAAGCTCTTCTTTCTTTCTTTTTTTTTTGAGATGGAGTCTCACTCTCTCACCTAGGCTGGGGTGCAGTGGCACAGTCTAGGCTCACTACAACCTCCACTTCTCAGGTTCAAGTGACTCTCCTTCCTCAGCCTTCCAAGTAGCTGGGATTACAGGCACCTGCCACCACCCCAGGCTAATTTTTGTGTTTTAGTAGAGATGGCGTCTTGCCGTGTTGGCCAGACTGGTCTCAAACCCCTGACCTCAGGTAATCCACCCACTTCGGCCTCCCAAAGTGCTGGGATCACAGACGTAAGCCACTACGTCCGGCGACTCTTATTTATTTATACATACAGGGTTGCACCATGTGGTCCCAGTTGGGCTTAACCTCCTAGGCTCAAGCAATCATCCTGTCTCAGCCTCCTGAGTGGCTGGGACCCCCACTCAGTGTGAACCACTACACCCAGCTGATGCAAGCTCTTAACAAAAGGCCCTGCCACTCTCTCCCTGGGTCCCCCATGCTGTTTCTTCACCTCTGCACCTCTTTTTCTTTTTTTTCTTCTTCTGAGACGGAATCTCACTCTGTTGCCCAGGCTAGAGCGGAGTGCAGTGGTGCGATCTCAGCTCACCACAACCTCCACCTCCCAGGTTCAAGTGATTCTTCTGCCTCAGCCTCCCGAGTAGCTGGGACTACAGGTGCACGCTACCACATCCAGTTAATTTTTGT